GTATTTATGTTTATGTAAATCTTTGACCATGTTGGGTCATTCAGTTTTATTAAAAAGTATTCTAAACCTTCTTTCTGCCTGATCTTTTATTTTGGTGACACTCCAAGATAATCACTGACCCCCATTTAACCCTCTTTCAAAACTTCCTGGATACACCCCTGCTCAGCAGGAGGCATTAATATGAAGGCGTGGGTACCTGTTCAGTATTTTTGAATATAATGCACTAAATTAAACTAACTGAAGGCTTAAACACTGCAGGTAAATATTGTTATTTCAAACTCTTGTTTGCTCATTTTAATTACATTTGCAGGTTAGGAACTTCATCGAGAGAGATGAATGTATAGGACATCTATGCTCTCAGTTTCATGGCTTGTTTTTAACCACAAATGAGAATGGATGGTCAGATGAAGCGCATGCCACTGCGTGTGATACATGAGGAGCTCCACAGATCCATAAATCCGTGCGGGATGGAATGGATGACGAGAACTAAAACCAAATTCAATAATTAGACTCTGGTGTTTGTCAGATTAACTCTTTCCTGCAAGAGTTTGAGGCGGTGCGCCTGCGCGTGTGGAAGCACGTTGATAGGCTAAAGATGACATCACCCATAGCTGCTCTATTTTTGGAAAGAGGATGAGCTCATCACTTAGAAACAGAGCAGAGTCAGAGGAGCCAGTTTCCAGGCAGCTGCTGCAGACTGTGAGTTTGTTCATCAGCCTGCAAACAGAGAGGAGGCTTCTGCTGCTTCAAGAGGAAGACGCTCCACACACAGTAAGCAATGTTTGTTTTAAAAAATAATCATTGCGCATGCGGGAAATGACCAGCAGAACAGTGACTATTTATAATTTGCTTGCTGTTTAAGATAGCTACAGGAAAAGCTCAGTAATCCTCATTCTGATCTAAGAAGGAAAAACGTGAATTGCGTCATTTACTCATAATCCTAGCGACTAAGAAGATGATGCATGAATAATATTCTGCTTTTAAAAAAAGAATAAAAGCCATCATTTAACTTAGATGTTGTGACACTGCAGATGGTCTGGTCCCGAGAGGCAGAGCGACCCCAGCTGTCCGTAATCCTGCCGTGGCTCTACCTCGGAGCTGAGCGCGACGTGACGCAGGTAAGAACCAAAACAACGATTCTGCGCAGTGCCTGGTGCCGCTACGAGCGGCGCATCCACAAAGTTCTTAGAGGGGCAGCCAGAAGTGGAGGGAGAGAGGAGTGGGGGTGGGGGGACACCTTGAATCATAGACTATGGTCACACAGCAGGCTTTGATGTTCAATTCCGATTTTTTATTTGTTTGGTCACTAATGGAAGTACAATCAAACTTCTGTGTGTGGTTTAGCGACCCACACGTGCAGAAGAAGGTAGACATACAGCAGGTCATTGTTTACGGCAGTAATAATGGATGCCTTCATCTGTGGATCAGTTTCAAAGTTTATTCAAAAATGGGAGTGGACAATATCATCACAAAATCATGAGATAAATAAAGATAAGAAAGCACAACTAATAGCAACCC